GGCAATAATGGAACTATATTATGGAACTAGGGAGATGAGAGAAAGGAAAAGAGAATGATAATCATCAATATTGGAAAACTTCACATCTGCACAGTAGAGGACAAAACAGTATGCACTGAAAGCTGCTGAATAATGGGGTGTGGGAGGGAAGGGGTAAGGGAGAGTAACAAAAGGGGTTGAACTGACCAAAGTAAAGCAAATTTACAGCTGGGATACATTAAGACAATTCTTTGAACATTGACTTTGGAATTAATGAAAGACAAGTCTGTAAAATAAGTACAGTGGGGGGGATGATACTTGTGAGAAGGGGTAGGGTGAATGGAGGAGATGAAGATGAATGAATAGGGTTGATGGGCTTCATATACATAAAGGAAATAGAATGATGAAACCTCTTGTTATTGCTTTAAGTGCAATGGGAAGAGGGTGGCAGGGGAGCGATGGGGGGACAAACCAATATACAACGTAAAGCTATTCAGAACTGTCACAACAAATCCTCCCTGTACAATGAATATATGCTAATAAAAATGAATATAAATCAATGCAAATGTATCAGAGTATACACCATGCTGAGAGAACTGAGAAGAGTCCAGAATAATACCCAGAAGACCTGAAAAACTGCACCAAAAAATTCCTAGGCACCATAAACAGCTTCAGCAAAGTAGCAGGGTACAAAAATCAATTTACAAATATCAGTAGCCTTTCTATACACCAACAATGAACAGATTGAGAAAGAATATAGGAAAACAGTTCAATTTACAATAGTCTCAAAAAACCAAATACCTAGTAATAAACTTAACAAAGGATGTGAATGACTTCTACAAGGAAAACTACAAACCACTGAAGACAGAAATCAAAGAACACTTCAGAAAATGGAAAGATCCCCCATGATCTTAGATTGGTAGAACCAACATACCAAAAGCAATCTACATGCTCAACACAATTCCCATCAAAATCCCAATGACATTCATCACAGAGACTGAAAAATCAACCCTAACGTTTATCTGGAAGCACAAAAGACTGTGACTAGCCAAGGGAATACTAAGCAAAAAGAGCAACACTGGAAGTATCACAATACTCAACTTCAAACTATTCTACAAAGCCAAAGCAATAAAAACAGCATGGTACTGGCACAAAAACAAGATATGAAGACAAGTGGAACAGAAAAGAAGACCCAGATATAAATCCACACAGCTAACCCCACCTAATTTTTGACAAAGGCACCAAAAACGTAAAATGGAAAAAGACAGCTGCTTCAACAAATGTTGCTGGAAAAACTGGGTATGTGCATATCGAAAACTGAAACTAGATCCATGTTTATCACCCTGTACAAGTATCAACTCAAAGTGGATTAAATACCTTAATATAAGACCTGAAACATTGAAGCTAGTACAGGAAAGAGCAGGGACTATCCTGGAAGAAATAGACATAAGCAATGACCTCCTCAGCAGAACTCAAAGTGGCTCAGCAATTAAGAGAAACAATCAACAAATGGGAGTACATGAAATTAAAATCTTCTGCATAACAAAAGAAATGGTCTCTAAATTGAAGTGGTCATCCACAGAATGGAAGAAAAATCTTTCCTAGCTATACATCAGACAAGGGACTGATAACCAGAATATACAGGGAACTCAAAAAACTAAACTCCCAAAAAATCAATGACCCAACGAAGAAATAGGCAAATGAAATGAATAGAGCATTTTCAAAGGAAGAAGTCCAAATGGCTAAAAATACACATGAAAAAATGCTCACCATCCCTGGCCATAAAATGACCCTATTATTCATATGTATGCACATATGAATAATAAAAAAATAAATTAAAAAAAAAAGAAAGAAAATGGAACTAAGTATAGGTCCTTCTTGCCTAGAATGCCCGTAAGCCATTTATTAGAATAGCAGTTATACAAACTATGAGATCATGTCAACTATGAGCTGGACATATATAAATATGAAGTATAATCTGGATATTAATTTTTTAAAAGATCCTTCACTAAATATCATAAGCAATGCAATAAAGAAAGGTTTGGGGGAGAATACCAGATTATCAAGAACTCCCAGCAATTTAATTCTAGGGACAAAAAAAATTGTCATATATTTAAAGAAAAAAATAGATTGTCTCGGAAATGGAAAAGTTGTTCTCTCTGGAAAAAAATTTGGAGGCTACTTAAAAAGCTAGACATTGATCTACCATTTGATCCAGCAATACCACTCTTGGGGATATACCCAAAAGACTGTGACACAGGTTACTCCAGAAGCACCTGCACACCCATGTTTATTGAGGCACTATTCACAATAGCCAAGTTATGGAAACAGCCAAGATGCCCCACCACTGACGAATGGATTAAGAAAATGTGGTATCTATACACAATGGAATTTTATGCAGCCATGAAGAAGAACGAAATGTTATCATTCGCTGGTAAATGGATGGAATTGGAGAACATCATTCTGAGTGAGGTTAGCCTGGCCCAAAAGACCAAAAATCGTATGTTCTCCCTCATATGTGGACATTAGATCAAGGGCAAACACAACAAGGGGATTGGACTTTGAGTACATGATAAAAGCGAGAGCACACAAGGGAGGGGTGAGGATAGGTAAGACACCTAAAAAATTAGCTAGCATTTGTTGCCCTTAATCCAGAGAAACTAAAGCAGATACCTTAAAAGCAACTGAGGCCAATAGGAAAAGGGGACCAGGAACTAAAAGGTTAGATCAAAGAGAATTAACCTAGAAGGTAACACACATGCACAGGAAATTAATGTGAGTCAACTCCCTGTATAGCTATCCTTATCTCAACCAGCAGAAACACTTGTTCCTTCCTATTATTGTTTATACTCTCTCTTCAACAAAATTAGAGATAAGGGCAAAATAGTTTCTGCCGGGTATGGGAGGGGGTGGAGAGGGAGGGGGCAGAGTGGGTGGAGGGGTGGGGGCAGGGGGGAGAAATGACCCAAGCCTTGTATGCACATATGAATAAAACAATAAAAATAAAAAAAGTTGTTCCCTCTGTGTGTCTCTTCCCACCCTCCCCCCAAAAAAAAGGAAATGCAAACCAAAACTACATTAAGATTCTATCTCACTCCTGTTAGAATAGCTACCATCAAGAAAACAAATGACAACAAATGTTGGCAAGGATGCAGGGAAAAGGAACCCTCATACACTGCTGGTAGGAATGTAAACTAGTACAACCACTATGGAAAACAGTATGGAGGCTCCTTAAGACACTAAAAATAGACCTGCCATATGACCCAGCAATACCACTCCTGGAGATATACTTGAAGGATTGTGAGTCAGCTTACAACAAAAGCACCTGTACACTCATATTTATTGAAGCACTATTCACAATAGCTAAGCTATGGAAACAGTCAAGATGCCCCTCTACTGAAGAATGGATTAAGAAAATGTGGTATTTACATACTATGGAATTTTACTCAGCCACAAAGAAGAAAGAAATTTTGTCATCATCACCAGTAAATGGATGAAACTTAAGTGAAGCTACCCAGACTCAGAAAGCCAACATGTTTTCTCACATATGTGGAATATACACCTAATGCAAATCCAGCAATATTATGAAACAGTGGTCACACTAAGGTGAGGTCATGCAGGGGAGGGTCGGGAAACTTAAGTACTTGAATATGGTTGATATACTCTATATGTAGAATGAATATAGAAATCTTAAACTACCATAAGAAAGGGACTAAGGTAGAATGAAGAAAATCAGAGGAGTTAAACCAATTGGGGTTATAATACACAGATTCACTGAACTATCACAAGGAAACTCCCTGTGTAGCTACCTTTATCTCAAACAAGCTAAAAATGTTATGTTTTTCTTTTTATCTTTTCTCTTTTTTCTTGTACAAAATCAGAGAACAGGAGGGTGGAACGAGTCCTGCCCAAGGGGGAGGGCTAACACCAGTGGGAGGGAGAAAGGTGATGGGGAAAGGAGATAGAGGGTGAATACAGTGCAAAAAAATGTGTATATGTGTAAATGCAAAAATGATACCTATTAAAACTACTCCAGTAATGGGGTGGGGGGATGAAGGAGAACGGTTGAGGAGGTGAATTCATGTATGATATAGTTGATAGATTGTAAGAACCTGTGTAAATGCCACAATGTACCCCCACCCAGCACAACAATAAAGGAAAAAAATTTTAGAGTCCAGAATGACTAGCACATTGGAGAACTGTGGAATATGAGACAATAAAGGTAGAACAGGACAAGATCATAAACCAGAAGTCAGCAAACTATGGCCTACACTCCAAATCTATCTAACCAGACATCTATTTTTGTAAACTTTTCCTTTTTTTTTGGTAGTACTGTGGTTTGAACTCAGGACCTACACCTTGAGCCACTCCACCAGCTCTATTTTGTGTTGGGTGTCAAGATAGGTTCTCACAAACCATTTGCCCAGGTTGTCTTTGAACCTGTAATTCTGAGTAGCCAGAATTACAGGCCTCAGCCACATGCACCTGGCTGTTTTTGTAAACTTTTGTTAAAACACAACCACATTCATTTATTTGTGTATTGTTTATGGCTACTTCCAAGCTACAATGGCAGAGTTGAGTAGTGTAGCCTAGTAGCTGCAACCGAGACAGCTTGGCCCACAAAGCCAAAAATGCTTACTATTTGACCCTTTACAGAAAACAAGTGTTTCTTGATCTCTGTTGAAAAAAAAAAAACTTAGAATAACTTATGAAGAGCTTAGATAATTTCTGCAAGCAATGGGTAAACTATTATCTTAATAATTAGTAAGCAATGGGTAAACTATTATCTTAATAATTAGTAAACAGTGAAAACATAAAAGTAGTAAGAAATTCTAAAGCAACTATGTAAAAGCATCAATTCATACCCCTTAAGAAACTATTTTAGAAATATTCATCCACCACTTCAATGGAACTGGTATTTGTGCTAATCTTCATATGCTCTTGCCTCTCTATAACTTTCTAAATGTTTACATCACATTTTTAAAATTAAGTAAGCCATGTATTAATATTTAAATGTTTACCTTCAGAGTGTTTTCTTCTGGAGTATCGTCCAACATTTTTTTCTTAAACTGATTTTGTTGAAAGTTGGGCTTAAATGCCTGTGATGCACTATTTTTTCCCAGGCATCTTATTGTGGAAACAGGTATTTGTGATAAACGTGCTTGTTTGAGTGCCTCAGTTTCCTTATGATCAGATAAGTTTAGGGGCTTAGAGACTCTTAATTGTTTTTGTTGTTGAGTTCCCAAATTCATTGGACAAACGATTGAATTTACTCCATCATTTGCTACCAGGTTTGTTCTTGTACACTGAGATCTAAAATAATTTTTATCCCAAGTTTTCAAGGAGGTACTTTTGTTGTCATCTCTGTAGCTGTAACAGTAAAGAAATATTTGTTTTTATATGCTTTCTAATTAAAGAACAATTGAGGAAATTTTTCATTTATTTGACAACTTATGATTTATAAACTGGTTTTTAGCTAATTAGACATCCCAAACACATCATCACAACAACCCTACAATATATTATTACCTCTCTTTCCAGATAAAGAAACAAGAGTTAGTGAAGAAATAACTTGCCCAAAGTCAAACGGCAAGTTACTAACAAGTCCAGAATTCAGAGAATATAGCATCACAACTCAGTGTACAGTGCTACAAGGTATATCTTTATGAAGAATTCCTGCCTCCATATGATAATAGTTGTTTTCAATTGGAAAGATTTTGAGAACTTTTGCTTAATCTTTCATACATTTATTTTTAAATTTAAATAAAGTTAAAAAAATTAACCTTAAACTATACCTTGTCCATGATTGTACATCACAAGGAAAATAAATGTAGACAAGGTAGATAACTGTTTGATATTATATATTTTACTGTGTAGCTGAAAATCCATATCAATTAATCTGTTGCAGCATTTGCTTGCTACATTAATCTAAGCTACTTGTATCAGCTGATCAGAACATGGTGTTAATGAGGCAAAAATCAAAAGTGTATTTTCTAAGCATGCTAATTAAGAGCTGTACAGTGAAAAACTAATTCAAGTCATATATTCTTAATTCTAAATAATTTTCCCAGAAATACCACAAGTACTACAAGAAAGCAATAAATACAAGCCATCCCTTATTGAAGAAAATAATCCAAAAAAACTGAGTTCACTAATGATCAAGAACAAATCTAGGTTTTATGGGGCCTGAAGCTTATATAATTTGGGAAGTGTTATATAAAGTAGGTACAAAATTAAATATAAAAATGTTGAGAAAGGAAATCACAATTACAAAATTTTTAAAGTTATGAATAGCACAAAAATCATATCCTAGAAAAATATTACTATAATTATTATTGTCTGATATGCCTCTATAAAGACCTACACTGATCACCTCTTCATATGACAACTTTGTAATTTTATTTTCAATACAGAGAGCAGAAATACAATTTTCTTTTTTCTCTCGTGGCTATTGAAATTATTACTTATGGTGAGAAAGGTTTCTTTTAGCTTCACAACTACTTATTGGTAATAGAATAACTGAAATTTCCCCCAAAAAATTGGCTCAGAAGGTGTTCCTAGCCTGAGAATTAGCTCTGGGAGAAATATAGTCCTTTCACCTTTCTAATGTTCCCCACAAACACATTCTGCCTCAGAAACCAATCCAATTCAGTCACGTTCTCAACATCCCAAGCACACCACATAGTCTAACTTGCAGTGGCTTCTGAGAAGGGCATGAGCAGCATGTCCCTCAGAGCTTTCTCTTTAGGTGAAATATCCAGATGTTCAATGAGGTTGCCAAGAGCAGATTGTTGCTGAGAACAGATTGGGGTAGAAGGTAGAGCTGGCCATCCACCAGCCAGATCTTTAGCACCAGGACCATCATTAGAATACAGACAGCAACCTCAGGATGAGACAGCAATCACAAGCCCACATTCTACTCAAACTGCTGCTTTCTTCTCTAGTCCATGGATGAAAACATGACTTTGAAGGGAATAATGCAAATGAGGCTCTAATGCTTTAGGATCATTTTCATGGTAAATCCTCCTTTGCTAATGAAAACTTTGAATATGATGCTGGACTATACTCAATAACTCAGTGAAGAGTGATAGCAAAACAAGTAATAGCTCCTTAAATTGCCATAAAATATCCTGACAAGTCAATCAAATATATATACGTATATATATATACGTATATATATATACGTATATATATATATATACATATATATGTATATATACATATGTATATATATATATGTAATTTTAGGAACATTTTCTAAAATTTAGACTGTTGCCTTTATGATATCTATTGTTCTAACATTTTTAAATAAATGTAACATATCTAAAAACTGTGAAAAGTGAAGCTCCTACAAACTGTTGAACTTAATTATGTGAGACTAGAAATGCCTTGGAAAGAAAAAAGAAAAATGTTCTTTCCTTGAAAATCCAAAATCACAAAAAAAAGGGAAGCTGGTGGAGTAGAGAAGCACACTTACATAAAACAAACACAAAATGCTAATTATAAGAGAAAGAAACTAAATTCTCCTCCCCCTCATCAAGTGCCTATAAGGACATGAAATCTCAGGTTTATTATGAGTATTTAAGCTAAAGTTGTTCAGCAATTACTAAGGAGTTTAAAGACCTCAATACATTTCAGGAAATGAGAAAGAGAGTCCTTCAACTTGAAACAAAAAGATACTAAACAGCAACATAAGATTACAAGAAAATAGGAAACTCACTGGCAAAAAACATATCCACAGGTTCCAAATCCACAGATTCAACCAACCATGGATCAAAAATGTTAGGAAAAAAATTGCATGTGCCCTAAAATATATATCATTATTATTATTATTCTCATTATTCCTTAAACAATACAGTGTAACAATTTACACTGTGTTAGGTATTCTACCTAATCTAGAAAACTGGAAGATATACATAGGTGATATGCAAAATCCATAGTTAATAATGTGGAAATTCTCTAATGTAATTCTCCCTAAGAAAGAAGGAAGAGATGAAGGGCAGGGGAAAGAGAAAAAAGAAGGAATAGAAGAAAAGAAAATTTAAGTAATACTTACCTCCAACAACTTTGGCTTCTTTCAGTATTTGACTGAATGTATTTAGACACAGAATCTTGATTTCTCAGGGGACAAGAAACTGAAGGGGGTATATGCCTTTCAAGGAAATACATCTTGTTTAATATAATTTGTTTTCAAATTGAGAAATGCAAAATACACACATAAGAGTAATATCAGTCAGTAACAGACACACATTCACTGGTTTATATTTTTCCACATACCCTGGGTTCACTGTGTCGTATGAAGGAGGTGATTCTGGATTCACAGTTTCCCAGGCCCAGTCTCAGAAGTATAAGAACACAGATAAAAATAAGATAGGCAGCACTTTTCAAAATAATTACTTCATATTTATTTAATTTGGCTTAAAAACTTGGAAAAGGCTGAAGGTATAGACATGGTCTTCAACAGCACATTGTTATAGAATGTCACAGCCTGCTAATTAATTTGGATAGATATTTTTCTTCTCTATTATAATCAACAATAATAGTTTAATCAGTATCTTTTCCACAATTAGTCCTAACATAGTACCTTATACTTTGTAACATCAATTCAGTCTAATCCAATTCTTCTTATACTTTTTTATTCCTCTCCACAGCAAGAAATACGTCATGACCAATAACAGACATATGCAGGGTGTGTGCAATAGGCAGAGAAATAAAGAGAACAGGACAATATAACAAAATTTCAACATCAAATCTAATCCTTCCTACATATAATGTACACTAATATTCTCTATTCTAGTCTACTCTACTTAAATCTCTTCTATTTCTCTTTGTACAGATTGGTTTACAACAGTCTAACTAGTGAGTTAGGACCAAAATCTGGAAAAACACTAAAATAATTATTTCTCTTACCTAGTATAAGAATTTTATTATATCTAATTTTATTTATAAAAATGGGAATGATACAAGCTTTATACCGCAAATTCATCTTATGTAGAAGAAAAACAATTTTAGGACTGCATTAAGGTTTATGGAAACACACTAAGGAAGCTAACAAAATATGTATTGCTATGCATAAAGATATTTTAAAATTCTAGTCATATAAGATTCTATTAATAATTTTAAGTATGTCCCCAAAAGCAAAGTATGTACAACTAGCACATACCAAATATATTTCTGAATTGTTAGCCTTCTTCCAGAGGGAAGTAAAAAGTCAGCAAATATTAAAGATCTCCTAGAATTCACCACTACTGCTAACTGGTTCAGGTAAGAAGGCTACCCTTAAAGCTAAGCCAGTATTTTACTAGTCCCACTTAAAAGATGATATGAACCAGAGGCTCCCTGTTTCCAAGATTTAATCAAGAGATAAAGAAGGCAGTCCATCAATGATCTCTGAAAAGTAGAACTAGATTATGTAAACACCCAGCAATGGTAACTTAGTTCATGTGCAAGTTGAAGCCATAAGGAAACAAACTGGATGAGAGTGTCTTAGTCCATCTAAGCTGCCACAGCAAAATATCTTAGACTGGGCAATTTATAAATAATGTAAAATTTTTTGTAGTTCTGAAAGCTGAGAAATCCAGATCAAGATGCCAACAGATTCAGCATCTGTTGAGATCGTGCTCTCTGCTTCATAGATAGTACTTCTGATTGTTTTCTCACGTGGCAGAAGAAGCAAACATCTCCCTTGCACTTCTTTAATAAGGTCACTAGTCCCATGCAGAGCCCCCATGACTTAATCCTCATATCTTAATACTATCACATTCGTGGTTAAGAAAATAAAGGGCTGACAAATGATGAAAGGCAAAAATGGCACAAGAAGGGAAAAAAAGACTATGGCCAAGCAACTTCTACCCCTTTCTACTCTTTTTTTTTTTTCCTATATTGCCATGCACACTTTTCTCTGTTTCTGAAGCAACTCAAGTTTTTCCATTCTTTATCAGCAAATATGTAAATCACAATATCTATATGTGTTTTGGAAAACAAAATGTTTTTACAATGTAGGTTACTATTTCATTAGAACAAAGGCTCCAGGTCTAAAATACTCCATTTAAACGCTAAGCCACCCTTGTAAACAAGGAAATGCAAAACTCCTATATTGCCATACTCATAAAAAAACAAGCAAACTGTACACTTGGATACTGAAAATAAAAATTTTCTATAATGAGAGAAATTATAGTTTTCTACATTCTTCACTCGTTTCCTAAAAATGTTCACCTTGATCATTTTCTTACCTGTAGGTAGAGAAGGAAAATCATAACTGTCAGAAGCAGTACTGGTACCTGGATCGTTTTTAAGTGGATTAGAAGTTAATGGCTGTCTGTTCCTCTTTTTCTGATTGAACAATGGTACAGGCAAACAGCCTACATTGAATGTACCAATAAATTAGTACGTAACAGGTAAATAATAACTACTACTTACAGGATAATTACTAACATAAAATAATGCACAATTTGAATGTCTACTTCTTATAGGTCAATGTTCTCATAGATGTATTTCCATGTCCTTGAATTTAATATTCTTTTTAAAATCTTAAATCGCCTCATTTGTCTCTTTCAAAAGATCTTTCCTTTTTGGCCTTAACATTGCTTTAATTTCTCTTGTTTGGAAGTAATCCTCATCTTTGTTCTCATCTCCTAACCCTTTCCAAATCCACCTTTTGTTTTTATTTCCCTCCTGTGCTTGCCTATTAACATATCAAATACAGACGACCTGTAGAATACAACAAAGATTAGGAGGAACTAAACTTTGAATCATGTTTTCTAAAAACCTAACCACTCTTTGGATCACAGCAGTCAACATTTAAGATTTAAGATTTAATTTGGAATTCTAATCATCATTCAGGTTCCAAGACCATAGCCCTTCTCTTACAAATTTTATTTCCATAGATTTGGCCTGAAACCCAAAAGTCTACATGACAGGTGTCTCTAATGATATTTTTGTATGAATCATTTTGAGACTACCTTAGAGAACTGCATCTACTCCAAGTAAGAATAAATACTACTTCCACTTCCTCCAAATGACAGAAGCAGGTTCTCAAGTCAGGCCAAAAGTCACAATGAATAAAAGTCAGAAACAAGGGAATTCAGAGTAAAAAAGATCCAAAAAGCTTGCCCATTGCTTCAAAGCAAGTCACTGAAAGAACCCAGATATGATCCATGCTTCCTAAACCTTAGGTTGGCTGATCTGTCACCACTGTATGACAAGAGATTACTGAAAACTCTCTGATGAAAGGCAAGAAATGTGGGCTTTGAATCAGACTACCTGATTTTTAAGAATAACTTCAAAGTAGATTTTAATTACAAATTCAAATCATACATGTGGACAGTTTCCTTAAACTCTTTGTGTCAATAAAACATATATGGAGAGACAGAATAAAATAATGATTAAAAGCATAGATTCTAGAACCAGATTTCTAGGTTCAAACCCTATTTCTGCCATTTAGATTATTTAACCTCTTTGTGCCTTGGTTTCTCACTTAGACAGGGGTGATAATGATAACCTACCTTAAGAGTACAAGGACTAAATGAATTAATACTTATAATTAAATGTCTAAATACAATATAGGTACCATAAATAATAATAATTTTTATCTTCATTGTGCATAATCCTTCCTGATTCTCATTATTCTTGCCCTCTGTCCTAAACTACTTAGTAAATTGGAAAAACAGAAACAGTAGAAAGTATTAAGAGAAAAAAGTGCATCTGGAAATATTTTTAACAAGTTAATTATAAAAACAAATAAAAATAGATCAATGCCTTTGTTATCTACTTAAAAACATAAAACAACTCAATCTCATAGGTTTTTGAAGAAAAGGCACCAGAGTAAATCTAGGTAACTTTGATTTTACTACCACCTCTGCCACTGAATATTTTGCCTTAAGTTATTTTACCTCTCTGGATCTAAAAAAAAAGAGGCTAGACTAAATGTTTAATCTTTTTAAAAGTTCCCTCCAAAATGTTCCATCTATAAACTATACAATCTTTATGTTGTACATGGAAAACTAAAATTAAAAGCTGTTCAATACCTGCTGTACTACGAGCTGAATTTTCTTTCAGGTTTCTCTTCATTTTTTTCAACAGCAAAATCTATAAGTTTTTCTTTAGCATTCCAAATTGAAGTTGTTTTACTAAACCTTTAAAGAAAGAAACGTGTAGCTCAGATTGTATCAGCAACAAGATCAATTTCTCAGCCTATTAATTACAGAAATAATGATTTCAAACTGTTTTGAAACCTGATAAACACTTCAGGGAGTTCTGTGATTTCTGAGTAAGAATTTACAACATAACCCATTTTTCCAGCTCTGCCCAAAATAAATTCTTATGGGGGTGACTTTAATCTTGCCTCCTGAATGTCCACAGATTTTTCACATAGTAAGTACTTTAGAATCAAAGACCCACCATGAGCATTATGAACTAAATCTAGAAAGAGATAAATAGACAACAGCACTGGCAAACATATACGGAGGAAGTACTATAGTATTGAACTGAACATGTGAGAACATGTTCTGCGTCTCATTTTAAGACACTGCATCTTTAACACATTCTTTATAAAATGTATAAATTCTTCAAAACTATTTAAAGGAGTGTTACTGCATGCAGATAATCATAATTTTGAGTTTGCCTCAATAGATTGCTAAAGCAAATTCTTTCATTTGTTTTTAACGCCCTTTGGTGTTTCAACAAAAAGGAACTCTGTAATTTGACTGACTTTAAGATCAGCCATAAGTAATCAGCAATCTTCAAAAGCACTTTCAACAAATAGGTCATCTGAGTTCTCCAGGGAAGAATCTGCCATGGACATTTTCAAGTGCGGGACTCAAACTTTCCCACCATCTTTATGACTCTGTTTAGAATAATCACATTGATCCTTATCTCAACCAGCAAAACCCCTTGTTCCTTCCTATTATTGCTTATACTCTCTCTACAACAAAATTAGAGATAAGGGCAAAATAGTTTCTGCTGGGTATTGAGGGGGGGAGCGGGAGGGGGTGGAGTGGGTGGTAAGGGAGGGGGTGGGGGCAGGGGGAGAAATAAACCAAGCCTTGTATGCACATATGAATAATAAAAGAAAAATGAAAAAAAAAATAAAAAAAATAAAAATCTAGAACTGAAAAAAAAAAAGAATAATCACATTGATGAAATCGTAATTTATGGTTGAGTTTCAGAAAAAAATATTCAGTGTACATTAACCATTTAGAAGTCATTTAAATAACAAAATATTGTATTGTAAAAGACCTGTACAATTTTAAAACAAATAAAGATTTGAACCTGTAAAAAAAAAAAAAAAAAAAAAAAAAGACACTGTGCAGATCACTTGCAGATCACAAAAAACTAAACCCTCACTTAATATCCAGGATAGTAAGTTTCCTCTCAGTTTCTATAACTTGAACAAGTGACTCAAGTTTGATGTTTTCAACAGACTTTCTGTAGTAATTTTTCCACATTCTGCCTCCTAATATATTTCTATTCCAATTTAATTCATTAAACACTTGTCCGTTGCATGAAAAGGCGAGATACAAACCTGAGTGAATAATTTGTTCCAAATTACCCAGTGAAAAAAAAAGAGATGAACAGAAGTAAGTAAAGATACAAATCAAATTGAGGTAAATTTGAATGTGTGTAGAAATGAAACCGGAAACAAGAGGTCAAGGACTGCCTGTACTTTGTTTCCATGACCTGGATTTAAGGCAGGACAGAGGAGGAGCTTTACAAAAAAAAAAAAAAGTGTCATTCTAGAAGCCAAAAGAGGTTACACCATTTTTTCTCCACACAGACAAACCAACGCAACTTACAACTAAAACTAAGGGACTTAAGGGCTATTTCGTTTCTTGGTATCACAGAAACAAAACAAGCCAAATTTTAAACCCCAGGCCACTAATCCTGAAAGCAGTAGAGACCCGCCCCCCCCACCCCGACCCACTCCAACTTCCCAAAAGTGACTTAACAATGGAGTTGGCAGCACTGATAACCAAAAACTTCGCTCAGTTCGCAAACACATCCTGCCGGCAAAATGGCTCCCTCACATAGACGCCAGAGGGCCTGTTCGGTCCGTCTGAGAAGGCAGGGGAGAGAATTCCAGTCAGGGTTTATGTTCCCTTCCGGCCCACCGAGGGATGGGGCAATCTGGTAACTATAGGGTCAACGAACATCCTTTCCCTTCATGAACGCCCCTGAACCCAACCCACAACTTTTACCCTCGGATTCCCTCGCCTGTCAACCGTCGTCGTCTAGGAAGCAGTTAGCAACTACACATCTTCCCACCTCTGAAAAAGCGCAGGAAGTCAGGCTACTGCGCAGGCGCATATGGAATCCGCAGGCACACATCGAACGTGCGCAGGCGCGCCTCAAACCTGCGCAGGCGCAGTGATCCCTCCTGGGCCACTGCCTGCGCAGGTGCACTGGTCCCTCTGTGCCACTGACTACACAAGCGCAAGTGTCACTTGTGCGATGGTGCACTGCACTGTGAGACCAGCCAAGAAAGCTATAGAGTCTTACAACCAAGAATAACGATGCTAAGTCACCTTCCTTTGGGTGATCAACACAGTGAGGTACGAGGCGCAGGGGTGACCTTATAGCCCAGAAGGAAAGGGGCCTGTCTAGTCACTGATGAGAAGGAGACAGGTCTGCAGATCCAGCATGCTCTACACCATCAGCTTGATGTTTTGGCTCCCCGCTTTCCATGCCCCCTTCTATTTCTTAGGTTATAGAAATAAGTTTTTAAGAAGCCTGTGGCAACTTGGACTATGCCTAAAAGAGAAAGACTCCCAAAAGAGGACACAGGCCTCAAAACCGAGGTATGAGTGTCTTACTTAGTCTGGCTGCATCTCTGAGTCATGTGGATCAATCAGGGAATTAGAGTCCCCAGGAGGCTGGTGGGAGAGCTGAGGCCTGCGTTTAAGTGACGGCCATGCAAGACAAGAAGCAGTCAGTAAGGCAAGACCTGTGCTTCTGGAGCTCGGAAGAGAAAAGAGTACTTGGGCCGCAGAGACATTCCACAAAGGAAGGAGAACGGTGGGGCCACCCGAACAATGAGTTCCAGGCTTCCTGCCTGGAAACACTATGGATTCTTGGCCCTGTGACTTCAGCAATTTATCCCCTCTATGTCTACCCCCATCCTCAGTAAAATAGCCATAACAATATTTACTTAAATGCCTTAAAAATATTAAAAGATAAAATGAATAGTCCTAGCACTTAGTACTAGTGGCCAATAAATGTTAGCCCTTATTTCATGACAGTAGCTGCCATTTATTGGGTACCTACTATAAGCCAGGTATAGTACCTCTAGATCTGAGTTCAAAGACCATGTTCTGTTTTTCACCTTTCTGGCTCTTCAAAGGCTGAGATAGATGAAAGGAAGAAGTAAAAAGGGCTTAGAGATAAAAAGTTATTAGTAAAGGTCTATGACTATGAGACAATAAAACACAGTAGTTTCTTTGAAAATTAGGTCAAATACATAGTGATATGTACTGAAAGCTACTGAATAATGGGGTATTAGTAAGGAAGGAGTAAGGAAGAGTAACAAAAGGGGTTGAACTGACCGAAGTAAAACAAATTCACAGCTAGGATACATTGAGAAACTCCTTTGAACATTGACTTTGGAATGAATAATGAAAGACAAGACACTAAAATAGGTACAGTGGGGGTGTACTTGTCAGAAGGGGGAAGGTGAATGGAGGAGATGAAGATAAAGAAATAGGGTTGATGGGCTTCATATACATAAAGGAAATAGAACGATGAAGCATTTTGTAATTGCTTTAAGTGATTCTGGGTTGGGGTGGTGGGAGAGAGATGGAGGGGGCAATCTAACCAATGTACAATGTAAGGCTATTCAGAATTGTCACAATAAATCCCCCCCATACAATGAATATATGCTAGTAAAATGAAAAAGAGAAAAGAAAATTAGGCAAATAAAAAATCAGGCAAAAAAAAATCAGGCAAATATTAGGAGATAACACTGGAGGTAGATTGAGACCAAATAATACCAGATCTTGGATGCCAGAGTGAGGAATAAACTTTGAAGGAATAGGGTCATCTTTTTTATTTGGAAAGAAGACTTCAGACAGCAAAATTTCTGAAAAGATATTATTCATCATGTTTCCTGAAAGGAAACTTAGCCAAAACACAAATACACATTTCAAGGAAGCAGATTTTAACCTGATGTATGCCTAGGTACATACACAGATGTAAAACACCCATTCTTTCAAAATAAAATAGGTTTCTCATTTTAAAAAGGGGGAGGCCTAGGGGTCTGGCTAAGTGGTAAAGCACTTGCCTAGAATTCATTAGGCCCTAGGTTTGATCCACACACCACAAAAAAGAAAAACCTAAGCCTACTATGAACAATATCCTGTGCTATGTTCTATAAGGAACGCAGACATGAACAATATAGAATCTTTCCTAAAAGTTTATAAACTTAACTATTCAATCCCTGTCTTGTTCTGGTTACCATTTATTTATTTCTCCCTAGAAAGTTGATCAGGATGGGTGACAGCAATAGGGTCACAGAGGAAGAAAAAAATTGAAGTAGTGAGAATAGTTTGATTGCCTGACTCCTGGACAATCACAGTATGTATAAGCCACTTACAATGAATGAACAGAGAAGTCCCTCTCTACTATCCAATCATACTATTTCAGATTCATCCTCACCTTAAATTTGTCTCCTACAAAACTTCAGGCATTGATCTATTAGATATCCACAAGTATAAAGTAAAAAATTTGCTTTCCTTTCATTTTAAAATACAATATATTATTAAGAAATGAGGCCCCTTCATCCACACAAAGTATTTATAGTGCTGAAAGTTATCACATTTATTCTTTAAAGTATTTCAAAACATTAGTCAGTAGTGAGACAGTGATAACTAGAAGCAGTTTCACTTCTATACTATCAGTTCTCTGAACTCTCAAAAATAAAACTGGTTTTTGCAGGGTTAAATCTTGAATGTGCTTTGGGAAACAAGAGGTTAAAAATCTTTTGGACGTTAACTAGGTACAAAATAGGAAAAGCCTCTCTTGCTCCAGTTCTAAGGAAATGCTCTCCTTTTTCTAACAAAGCTTTCCGCAGAATACAAAGTCTGTTCACAATAAACAAGGTAAGTATAAGAAAGAATTACTGTAACTCATTAACTTTCCAATAAGTTATTCATCTGGTCATATAACAGAAACTTTATGAAATGTGCTTCAAAATTCTGACCTGTTAAAATTCCTTAAACAAGTCTCAGAATTAGAGTCATTTATGCCAGCTACAAGTAAATAACTGAAGGAGCATTTCCAGAGAGAGACTAGGGCAAAGAACAGAGCAAACAACAAATCAGCAGGGAAGAAACTTAACATAGCAGAGTGTTAATAATTCATCATAGTAAATTAAAACCAACATAGCAATACAACTGTCATTTCTTTATATTTACATATGTTTTCATCATCTGTACACTGAAGTGTTCAGTGCACAGTGGTATGTGTAAAAAATCAAAAGCTACAGGGCCTTTGTCTCAGAGCGCAATTTTACCATAAATATACATTTTATTTTGTTTTCTCTATCTTTGCATAATGTCTTAAAGGAATAATTTAGAAATTGGTTTATTAAATATTATGAAATATATATATTTTATATTTCTATCATATATTTTGTTTGTATGCTTGTTTATTTCCTAAGCACACTGGACTTAATCAGAAACATGGGTCCCAGCCTAGTTTTCTCTTATGTAGTGGTGGAAACTTAATCAGGTTGCTTAACATGTCTTTCTTTTATCCCTGCAAGGGGGATGTCAATACCTAACCCATCGTATCTTATAAAGTGGATACATGAATAAACTGAGCTAATCTATGTGAAAGAGCATAATAAATTAAAATACTATGCATTGTAATGAATTACTCTTGTACCCCTACCTAACAACCTGCATTATAAATACATATTATTTTTAGTATTTGAACATATTTGACTTTCTGGATGACTGAGCATGAAATTATGTCATATTTGGTTCAGATTCATTTCTCCAAAGGCATCTTAGTATTCTGGAGAGTCCCTGCTGCCAGTAAATGAGGCCATGTCTATATAAACTCATATGATATAGTTAATGTATAGAGTATGTCCCAAGACATTTTCAGGAATTGAAAAGTTCTAAGGACTAACAGTTGTTTTTCCTTTGGTGTGTAGGCAAGATTTCGAAGGACACTGACCCAGAATTACCAAAAACTTCATGAGAAATTAAAGGATGTTTCAAAATAACTTTTTTAAATCCAAGTGGTCACTGATTAGGTCCTTGTGTCTCTGAATGTGAAAAGGCATTTGAAAGAAAGGAGGAAGACTCTGGGCATCTGCCTTTGGCTATTTATAGAGATGAGAGTCATATACCCTCAGATAATGAAAAGTACCTAAACTCATTTCAGAAAAGAAATGTTTTTTGATGCCAGTGGAAACTTATACACTAACTGTACCACTTTTTATATATATTTGGGGGGATTAGAAATGTATAAACTATTTTCATTATTACAAAAAAAATCATGAAGTCCCCATTGAGTGACATTCTAGCTGAAGGGAAAACAGAAATTATTTATTAAGAGATGTTAATTTATTCTTGTACTTAGATCTACTGACCATCTGAGGGAGTTAGAAGTTAACAGCTGTATCTCTAGTTGATCTTTGCATATTTTAATCCAAATATGGTAAAGGGTAGGGCAACAGAGGAAGAGTCCATATAATAAACAGGGCTCAGAACTTGCAACAGGAACATTTTAAAATATTCCACTCAAGGAAACTCTGTACTTTGCACTTTGATTCTCATTTGGATTTATATTTATAAACTTTCCTTAGGAAATTAACCTTTTTATTTCCTCTCTTTTTAATTGCAGAAATCAGATAAAACTACTTGGTAAAATGACCTCTTGTAACTTCACTGAAGAACCTGTAAAAAAGATTGCTATCTTTGGAGGAACTCATGGGAATGAACTAACAGGAGTATTTCTAGTTAAGCACTGGCTAGAAAATGGTTCTGAAATTCAGAGAACAGGGCTGGAAGTAAAACCATTTATTACAAACCCAAAAGCAGTGGAGAAGTGTACCAGATATATTGACTGTGACCTGAATCGCGTTTTTGACATTGAAAATCTTGGGTAAGACTATGTTTTGTACTATTTGTGAACATGTGTGTGTGTGAAAAGTAGTAAGTGTGTGAGAGAGAACACATATATGCATATGTTAAATGTACATGTTCATACATATGGTGGCTATAGTGAATAAAATTGTTTTCATTTTGATTATGGAGCATTGTGAATTACACAGTTACCAAAACTGGGCATCCATGTGCTCTTTCTCAAACTTTGAAGCACTAGGCTATTCTTCTCTGATTTTTCTTTTTTAATGTAGCCCATACAGACTAAAACAAAAATGAGAAAGGTTTTTATTTTAAAATCATATCTTGAGACACATGGATCTATTAATACTTTGCATTAGTGTCTGGTCACTATGCCTATACACATATTTGTTAGCTTTCTAACAAATTCACTGCTAGTTTTCTTGCAACTATATCTATAGTAGTACATAAAGTTCTACTTAATAAAAAGTGTGATGTTTAAATTAACATTTGTTGAATGAAAAAGTGAATAAATGTCCATTGCCAGAAAACATCAGAGAAGAGGCCTGAGGAATAGATCTATTTCTTGTCTGTGGTGGATTACCACAAATAAAAATAATGAGAACTGAAGACACTTACCCTGAACTCCCCACACTTGAATTATAGCTAATTGAGAATACATTGGTATAATGTACTTGATAATAATACTCTAGGGTGTTACTTAAAAATTATTTTGACTTTTTATATCATCTTATCTCCCACTATACATGCCTCTAAGTATTTGCCTTTTATCACTTCTTTCTTTCATTTACCTAAAATATTAACTGTTCTTCTCACTGTGCCAGGTACTCTGGGAGTACAAAGGTGTGTATAAGCTGGTTTTTACCTTTAAGACCACTAGCTAAGATACAGGACATACACAGGAACAACTAACTATATTGCTTTATGTACTTGTTTTCCGATAATTTGAGTTACAGAATTCCTTAGATAATTTGAGTTACAGAATTCCTTAGATTTGGTCTCACCACAGAACTACTACTTTTAGTACAAATATGCTCAGTTTATGAAACTGATGTTTTCCAGGTGGATTATACAGTAGTCATACTTTGTTAACTCATATATTACTAGCATAAATTTTAATTTCAGAAATGCTTTCTTTTCCTGATTATAATTATATCAGCAAAACTAATGTTTATTAACCTAAAATAGCAATTAACTAACTCATATATCACAAGTAAGAATTTGTTAAAGAATGACTTTTTTTACTATTTTATTATTTACTGTTCATCCCCTCTCTTTTTGTCATTTCCATACATGCTTATAAGAATGACTCTTTTAATCAACATTAACTTTCTGAATAACTGAAGTGGACTGGGGTGGGTTTGCTTATTATGATCATCCAATGTTAGGCCTTTCAGTGAAAGCAGTATTTAAATTGAATTCATATTCTACTTCTTACTCTTAACACTATTCACAGGCTACATGGTTCTCTCTTAGGGTAGTTATGAAAATTTTTTTATAAATAAATCAATTAATTTCTCCTATCCACCCTTTCCCAAGTTTATTCATTTTCCTATATTTCTCATTTAAGTGATGGTATCATCACAAAAATCCCTTATAGAAATTATAGAACCTTCTCAGTTCTTTAGCTCCCATGTTTACTGGATAAGTAAGTCTCCCAAGTATTCACAAAGGCAGTCTTTCTCTCCCTTTTCATGACCTTAGTTTATTTCTTCTGTGGACAATTAGAATAGCCTCTTACAGGATCTCTCTGTATCTAGTCTTACTCATGACCTTATCACATCCATTCGCCATATGGTAGCCACAAAGAATCTTCCTAACATGCAAATCTTATGCTTTTCCCCTACTGAAAATTCTCTTAAAATATCCTATCCAGAGTAGATCTAAGCAACCTAGTGGTGGCCTTCAGTGTCTCGCCCCTGCCTATTCTTTCAGCTTCATCCCTTAGGATTCTTCAAGTGATACTTGAATTGTAAACATGGGAACTCAAAGAGTCCATTATCTTTCAGAATGTCAATCAATGACTCTGAGCAACTGGATGGGTAATGGAGCCATTATTCAAATGGAGCAGAATGTTGCACAAGTAAATAAGTTTGAGAATGCCCTCATGGGATTATTTCATTAATAGATAGATAGATAGATAGATAGATAGATAGATAGATAGAAAGATTACATTCAGAATTGTGTTTGGTTGCAAGTAGAAACCCAAGAATAGTGGCTTAAACAAATAAGGACAAATACTTCATAAGACCCCCATCTCTAAAGTAACCAGAGCAAAATGAACTGGAGGTATGGCTCAAGTGGTAGAAATGCCTGTTTTGCAAGCTCAATGAAGCCCTGAGTTCAAACCCCAATCCCACCAAAAGAAATGTATGCTAACCATTGTAAGAGATGAGGAGAAGGTGGATGTATAGCCATTTGAGAATACAATAGTAATTATTAATTTACTGACCATCACCCCCAGGAAAATACATATATGTGTGAAACTGCAAATTTTTGTAATTTTGGAAGGTTTACACACTCTTATCTGCAACCTTGTTTCTGGACTAGTGGCTCCTTAACCTCGATTAAAAATATCTACTTAAGATGATGTTTGCATCTAAGCTTGAGTGGTTTTATGCACTAGAATTAGCTAGAGTAAAGGAGGAAGGTGCATGTAATAGTATTGCTCCATTAAAAAGTAACCAGTACTAAGAAACCTTATCAAATTAATGAATAAACATTGTTTGAGGTCGAAGTCAAATGAGAAATTCTGTTTGAAATGTCCTACCTTTGACCAGTCACACACACAAGCTTATTATTTTGCAAACATGCCAATGCAATATTAGTTACATGGAATCAACTGGAGAAAAACTGTAAATTTTTTCATTTATATAGATTTCAGGTAAGTTTTCACTTCCCCATAGATTTTTAATATTAAAGGTCTAGCAACTGGTTCTTTGTACACTGTGTTCTTATTGCATATTTATGTTATATTAGACACAGATGTTGTTAATCTTTTTCTTTCCTCTAAAAACAGTAAAATGATTTCAGAGGACCTGCCATATGAAGTGAGAAGGGCTCAAGAAATAAATTATTTATTTGGTCCAAAAAATAGTGAAGATTCCTATGACATTATTTTTGACCTTCACAACACTACTTCTAACATGGGGTGCACTCTTATTCTTGAAGATTCCAAGAATGACTTTTTAATTCAGATGTTTCATTATATTAAGGTAATGTCCGTGTTATTAATTTATAATTTAGCCCATGACCTTTACTTTTAAGTCAATTAAAGATGTGAAATAAACACAAAAGAGTCAGGAAGGATGGTTCAAGTTAAATGGGATCTATTCCACAGCCAGTCTGGGAGATTGGATGAAGTACTATACCAGGATACAGAGGCAATAGTGACAGACAGATGAAAAGGAGTGGAAATAAGCAAAATAATAAGTACAATGAATAAAATAAAACATAGATTCTTGTGACTTTAAAATTATAAATTTTATCTAGACCATCACCAAATCATGGTAAATTAATACCAAAATTTTGTATGATGGAGTTGAAGTATCTCTGTTACAGGGTTTTAAGAAGTTTAAGAGCCAGGCACCAGTGGCTCATACCTGCAATTCTAACTACTTGTTCAGGAAGATCAGGTTCGAGACCAGCCAGGCAAATATTTTGTGAAGCCCCATCTCCAAAACAACCAAAGCAAACAGATTGGAGGTGCGGCTCAAGTGGTAGAGTGCCAGCTTTGCAAGCGTGAAGTCCTGAGTTCAAACCCCAGTCCCACAAAAAAAAAAAAAGTTCAAGAAATTATCACTTAATAATGGTTAAAAGTCAATGGTAAAAAGATTAGCTCATGTAACCAGGAGAACTTGGGTTCAAATTCTGGCTTTCACATTCATTAACTTTGACATTAATCTCCCAAAACCTTGCTTTCCTCCTTTTATAAAAAATAATAATACTATGGCTATTTAAAGCCTTCAATGAAATAAAGCATTTAACCTAATACCTAGCATATAGTAAAAGTTAACTATTGTTTCTGTTCCCTGAAGTTTTGACAGTAACTAGACAGTGGTTCTGATGGGAGATCATTGCAGCTATTCTTTGTCGCTCAATGAAGAGAGAACTGAATGCTTTGGTTGCTAGACATGTAAGCAGCATGGCTTATATTCAGTTATTAAAACCAAGGGTCCCAACTTGAATTCTCATTCAAATTAGCAGGAAGGGAATCACCAAACATCTGTAGAGACCTATACCACAAAGGTAGAAACAGAATTCTTTAAGAGACCAATAGTAGACTAAATAGTTAAGTGTAACCAATTTTAAAAACAAAAATAACCAATCCATTCAGAAGGAACATTTATTTCCTACTTTGATTATGGGGGTAGAGAATTGTTTAATGTACATTTTACCCAGAAAGCTACATATAATTTTATTTTATGCACAATTCATTTGCATGTTTTCAAAGCTATAGTAACACTGGGTTTTAAAAGTGTTTCATAAAACTGTCTGACTAATTTTAGTTGATGAAGTATAGCATATTAAAGGCATTACTGATACTGTAGCAGCAAAGAAAACAAAACATTTGGTCTTTACATAATAAGAAATATGTTTTAAATTCTTTTCAGACTTCTCTGGCTCCATTACCTTGCTATGTTTATCTTATTGAGCATCCTTCCCTCAAATATGCAACCACTCGTTCCATAGCCAAGTATCCTGTTGGTAAGTCATGTTTCCTATTGGCATAACTAAATAAAATATGTCCTAGGTGAGAGTCTGAGAAAATTATTTTTAAGGGACCTTGCATACCATAATGCTTATGATTGTCAGGTAATAAGCAAGTTAACCCCAACAGGCTCTAACTATACCGAATTTCTTCAATCCCTCTGAGCAGCTTCTATTTTGTTCATATTATTTCGTTTGCTGCTAATGCTCAGCTCTTCAAATTAGTCTGACAGATTCTTTTCATTCCCAAGATTCAAGTGATGTACCAACTTGTGTACGAACTTCTCTGACTCCACTCCCCAGAATTATTACACCAAAACTTTGTACATTCAACAGATATTTATTGTGGTACTGTGAATATAATAATGAACAAGGAGCACAGTTTTCCATCAAAGACGTTAATAGCTAATGAGACAATTGACAAGTAACCAGGTAATTACTGCAGAGTGATACATGGCCCTAGAATGGTAATTCCATTCTCTTTCCTGTGACACATATTAGCATAATTAATTATCTAAGACTACACTGTAATTAAAATTGCTACTACAATTGAAAATCTTTTTTGCTAGATCTCAGCTGGTTTAACCAAGGGTAGTTTGAGAGCAAACTGGAAATACTATAAGCAAATGAAACTTTTAAAAATTATTCTTGTTATTCAAGAAGTGATGTTTTATTATATAATGAAAGGAATTAAAGTAATTATAAATGAAGAATTATATCCAAATATAGGTACATAAAATAGGCTAAATATCCAAATATAGGTACATGGTTGTAATAAAACCAAAGCCTTAACAATGTGGGAGAGGACTGGCAGGGTAATTTAGTGGAAGTGCACTGGTTTAGCATGCCTGAAGCCTTTGATTCAAACGCTAGCACTGCCGTGATAATAATTATAATAAATAATGTAACATAGATATCATTGTTCTCTTTTACACCAAATAAAAGCATGAGACTTCTAAACTTTGAAAGATCAATCTCAATCTATGATATTTAAGGACAATGTTGTTCTTAGCTAGAACAAGTATTTGATATGTTTGATCCTTACAAATAGAGCCAAATGTTTAAAACATTTCAATAGGAGGGACTATTTAAGTGCATTATACGTAATTAGAATAGTATGTTCTCCTTCCAACTTTGCTATTTTACTTGGAATATTTTTATGACATAATCATTGAATAAAAAACACTTAAGATCAGAGAGACACCCCTTTTTTCTTTCTTTTTTTTATCATTTTTACATTTACTCATGTGTATACATTGTTTTATCCAATTTTGTTGAAGAGAAAACATAAGAGATAATAAGAAAGATGGTGTTTTTGCTAATTTGAGATAAAGATAGCTATACAGAGAGATTCCTAATGTTGATTCCATGCACATGTGTATTGCAAACCAAATTGGTTCATCTCTACCAGACCCCTTCATTACTTCCTGGTCTCCTTCCCATAGTGGCCTCTGCCAGTTTAAGATTACTATATTCACTCCTCTACAGTGAGCACATCAACCACATTCACGTTTTAGGTTTCCTTCCCTTTGCCTATTCTTCCATGCGTGTTATACCCTTAGTGTGTGACCCATGTCCAATAATATTACTGCATTTGTTTTAGGTCTGTAATATGAGGGAGAACATGTGATTTTTGGCCTTCTGAGCCTGGCTAAATTTGCTTAAGATGATGTTCTCCATTTCCATCCATTTATTTGCAAATGACAAAATTTCATTCTCTGTGACTGAGTAAAATTCCATTGTATATAAATACCACATTTCCTTAGTCCATTCGTCAGTAGTGGGGCATCTTGGCTGTTTCCATAGCTTGGCTATTGTGAATAATGCTGCAATAAACATGGGTGTGTGGGTGCCTTTGGAATAACCTGAGTCGCAGTCCTTTGGGTATATCCCCTAGGAGTGGTATTGCTGGATCATATGGCAGATCTATGTTTAGTTTTTTTAGAAGCCTCCATATTGTTTTCCAAAGTGGTTGTACTAGCTTACATTCCCACCAGCAGTGTATGAGGATTCCTTTTCCCTGCATCCTCACCAACATTCATCGTTGGTGGTGTCTTTGATGATAGCTATTCTAACAGGAGTGAGGTGGAATCTTAGTGTGGTTTTGGTTTGCATTTCCTCTATGGCCACAGATGGTGAGCATTTTTTCATGTGTTTTTTGGCCATTTGGATTTCTTCCTTTGAATAAGTTCTGTTTAGTTCAGTTTCCCACTTCTTTATTGGTTCATTTGATTTTAGTTTTTTGAGCTCCCTGTATACTCTAGTTACCAGTCCTACATCTGATGTATAGCTAACAAATATTTTCTCCCACTCTATGGTTGGTCTCTTCAATTTAGAATCCATTTCTTTTGTTGTGCAGAAGCTTTTTAATTTCATGTAGTCCCATTTGTCCATCCTTTCTCTTAGTTGCTGGGCTTCTGGAGTTCTATTGAGGAAGTTCTTGCCTATACCTACTGCTTCCAGAGCATTCCCTGCTCTTTCCTGTACTAACGTCAGTCTTGGGTCTGATATTAAGGTCCTTAATCCACTTTGAGTTGATACTAGTACAGGGTAACAGGCATGGATCTAGTTTCAGTTTTCTGCAGGCAGGTAGCCACTTTTCTCAGCAACATTTGTTGAAGAGGCTGAGACAGTTGTTTTGATTCAACATTTTATAATACACTAAGACTTTTGCCCCATACAAACTTTCTTTAACTCCTAGCCACTCCAAGGACCATTCTAATGCCAAAGTAGTTGAAATGTACAAAGTCATTCTAGGTAAACATTAGCCCAGAAAGAAGCAGTTTGCTGCAGTCAACCTCATGATCATTCCCAAACTGTCACAAATACACACACACACACACACATACACAACACACACACACACACGAGAGTGACTGGTCACAAACTTCTCCTAGCTTTCTTAGATTGGCCATGATCTCACTTGAGATTCAGTAATGTTATTTTATGACCATTGTTCCTTCAGCTTCACTCCTGACTATGCCATGCATGTCCTACAAATTTAAATATTCTGTGGTGTTGTGAGATCTTGTGTCAAAGATAATTTGGGGCTTGGAAAATATGGCCATCCAACCTACTATTCTCCACTCACAATCAGAAAAACAACTTCAGTAACTGGTTCTTCTTGGTGGAGTACCCACCCCTACCAGTCCATAGCTTCTTACTTTAAACATAGGACTGAACACATCACACCTCTGTCTCCCTAAAAGATAAGAATATATAGAATAATTTAATCTGCAGATAACCCAAAATAGCTTTAACATTAACATAAATGTATTCTTTTACATATCAGCTCAACAACATCATGAGGGACTGGATTTCTTTTTATCTTTCTGTTCTACCACATTTAGTATGTCTTCAGCTCCCATGAGATGTCCACTGTAGTTCCAAGCATCATATTACTAATATGACAAGATGTAATGGAATAAAGGCGACTGTAAGGAGCCCCCTGCAGCTCTTTCATTATGGCCCCTTGGTCAAAACTGAGTCACACATCCATTCTTCAACCAATCACTAAGGTGCTAGGACTACTATGAGTGAATTGAACTATTGAACACTTACTCTAAGCTGAAGAGAAGTTCATTTATCTTGAAGATTGGATATCCAGCCAAAATCATGATTCTCTTAGAAGGGAGGAAGGTAGAATGAATTTTGGGTAGGCAAACATCTTATACAATATACACATATATATCCATGAGCACAATTTTGGTATGTTATACAAATTATAAAATACACAAAACATTTATACAAAATACATTTACACAAAATACGTTTATATTATTGTCTAAGTCATTTTCAGATTACCTAGAGTCAAAAGTATTCTACAGTCTTGTCTTTGTGGAAGACACAGGTGTAGTGAGGTCAGTTCTTTATAAAAAGCAAGAAGCTATGGACTAGTTAAAGGGTAAATCTTTCACCCAGAACACAGTTGTATAATTCATTCAGACACAAATGCATACCTTACCAACATTTATGACATCATATACTTAAATAAATGTCTATACATATGGATATGAAAGCTAAGGACAACAAATTTTTAAACAAATAATATAGTGAGGTTTTATGAATTGGAAAATAACAGAAACAGGTGAAAACAGGACAAGTGTAAAAGAATGTATGAGTTGGGTGGAAGAGAATGAGGGTGGGTGATATTGTACTTGGTAAATGGTTTGAAAACTGGAGACAGTGATGAATGGAGGGCTGACTTTGTGGGAGACTTGAATAAAAGGAAAGAGACTAGATAAGTGGTTTAGAAAAAGAGTATTTTGCTCTCTCTACAACAAAATTAGAAATAAGGGCAAAATAGTTTCTGCTGGGTATTGGGGGGGGAGAGGGAGGGGGCGGAGTAGGTGGTAAGGGAGGGGGGTGGGGGCAGGGGGGAGAAATGAACCAAGCCTTGTATGCACATATGAATAATAAAAGAAAAATGAAAAAAAAAAAGAAAAAGAGTATTTTGTAGCTATAAGGATGGGTACTTAACAACCACAGGAGATAGACCTGAGAGTACAGGCATAGTTTTTTGGGGCTTAGAAAAGGCACAATCTTTTCTACAGAAAATTAAATCTATTATACTATCTTGTCAGGATTTGTTACTGTAAGGACAAAAATGTTGTCCCAGGGTCATATAAAGTGTCATGTTAACAATCCATGGTTAGATCCATGGTTCATATAGCTGGATTTTTACTAAAAATCTGCTGTCAAAACTAAATGTTAGATCTGTGTCAGCTTGTCTTTGTGGCCACCATTATTTTGTCAGCCTAACTTTGTCTTCCTCTTTTATTATGTTACAATTTTTTAATATTTTAACAATATTGAATACATTTTTTAAATAACCCTGAGTTCTTAACTAATCTAACACAACTCTGTGTTTTTCCATGTTCTCTCCTGGTCTTTATTTACTGTGTGTATAACTTAAACATGTAAGTGTTCTCCTTTTTGCTTGACATCAAATATTTTCCATGATACTAAATGGTCTACCTTTTAAATAATTCTTAACAATGGGATTCTTGATCTTTGTATATTTAAATGATTAATTTTACAAAATATTCTAAAACTTATGTAAATGTGACTATATCCCCTTCTATACCTAGGTGTAGAAGTTGGTCCCCAGCCTCAAGGTGTTCTGAGAGCTGATATTTTGGATCAAATGAGAAAAATGATTAAACATGCTCTTGATTTTATACATCATTTCAATGAAGGTAGGTAGTGGGTGGGAGTTGTTTCCTTAAGCACTAAACATTGAAATAGTAATTGGAACCTAGGTCAAATTTATCAGGCTCATAATCTTAGCTTTTTTTTTAATACAGAATCTCACTATGTAGCCCAGGCTGCTCCCAAAGTCATTATGTAGTTCAAACCAGCTAGAAATCACAACCGTACTGCATCAGCCACCCAAATGCTGGGATTATAGGTGTGCACTACCATGCCTAATTTTTAGATGCTTTTTGAAAGTCTTATTCACTTTAGTGAATCCTCAATGACCAGAAAGACACATTCAACAGAAGCAGCTGCCCCAGAATCATTTTCTTATTAAGTTTCACTTGAAAAACCAAAGAAAGACTAGGAAATAAAAATGTCCAATAAACATAAAAAAAGATCATGAGTAATCAGAGAAATGCAAATTAGAATGAGAAACCATTTTCCTTCATTAGATTGGAAAAATATTAAAATCCAATAATATTAAGTATTAATAAAGATGTAGAAAAAGAGTGTATGTTCTCTGTTAGTGAGCATATAAATCAGTAAAGACTCTTTAGAGGGTAAATTTACAGTATCTAATTCTTAAAATGCACCAATCTTATGATTCAGCAGTTCCACATCTCAAAGTAACACAAGTACATGCATACCTAATGTGTCGTACACAGGAGTGGTTATTACAACTTTGTTCATAAAAGCAAAACAATGGAAATGACCCAAATGTTCTTCAGTTGTGAACAGTTAAATAAACTAACATGGAAGGATCTTCAAAACATATTGTTAAACAAAAGAAAGCAAGTTGCAGACCATAACATAACCAGTATATAAATTTGCTTTAAAATAATAATACTAAGCGGGCATTGTGGTATACATTTGTAATCCCAGCACTGGGGAGGCTGAGGCAAGACAATAGAGAGTTGAAGGCCAGCGTGGGCTACCTAGCAAAACCCTGTCTTGAATAAATAAATAAATAAATAAATAATCACTTACTAGAATATGTACACATGTTAATATATGCAGGAAAAGTTCTAGAATAAAACATACCAAACTGATAACAGTAATTACTGAGAAGAGGAACAAACCAGGCTTTGTTTTAATTGCTTCAACAAGAATAATGTATTCATATAATTAACAAATGGGGACTGGTAGAGAAGTAGATGAATAGAATTCTTATGCACATCTTCTCACTTGTTTAATAAATCTAAAACTACACTAAAAAGTCTATTAATTATAACAAAAGTTTATCTTAAAATTGAAAAAGATTACTTAAAGTAACATCCAGAAACCTCCTATGCAAATAATAATTCTGATAGGCTGAGTGAAAATTATTTAGTAACAAGTAATTATAATGACATAGCTAGTGTGTAGTTCAGTACCTGTGGGGAATAAAATTCCTTAGGCTTGGATGTGCATCCTCCTACAATTACAGGAACTTCTGTGCTTGGAAATCTTTTGTCCTAAAAGTCATGAAAACTGAAAATCAGTCGCTCAGCACCTGTGTGACTGACACACAGACACAGGTCTGTCTAAAGGAACTAGTATTGGGAAGGTCATAACATATGCACAAGAAATCCTCAAATAATTAAGTGTAGAAGTACAATATGGAAGAAATGATACACCCAGGTAGAAGGCCACAAGTGAAGTGGAAAACATGGTTTGTAAATGATGGTCCATAGTTCCCTAGCATGAGGATGGGAAGTCCCAAAAACCCCGCTTTCCATGTCTGCATCAACCATTTGAATCTGACTTTCATGCCATAGAAGAGGCTTGAAACAGATTTGCATATTGGAACTCTCTTGCTACTTTTGCAAACCCTACAGCCATTATGTGAATCAGTTCACACTAACCTGCTGGATAAAGAATGATCATAAGATAGAATATTAATGATGCCACCATCATGCAGCTCCAAATGACAGCCTGTCAAATGCAATAAATGAGAGAGGCCATTCCAGATTATCAATTCTCCTTACCGCAAATGCAAGAGCAAGGCAATCAGACAGAAATTAGCAAAACCAGTCCAGACCAGAGGAACTGCCCAACCAACCCACAGAATCACAAGCTAAATTAAGGGATGGTTGTTTTAAACTGCTACATTCTGGCTTCACATGTTATGCAGCAAAAGCTAGCTGATACAGAAAGGCCACAAGGCTGCCTACCCCAACTCTGCTCTAGGAGCAAAGGAAGACTTTTCTCTAAGTTACAGCCATACACACTATGGGCCCTCCATTGGTCACAAGTTCAACCTGTTTGCTCAGAGATTTCCTAGTATATATGTCAACTACTCCTTTTCCATGTTTCTTGGCATTGGGCAATTTAGTTTTGCCATGTCTTTGGAAGTTGGACTCCACTGCCAGGCAGACTGCCTGTATCCCAAGAGTTCACTGCTCAGGAACTGTTTAAGTTATAGCAAAGAACTACTAGACTGAAGCCACCTAACTCACTGCAAGTCCTCTTAAAGATATTGTGTCACACAATGTCAGAACTGAAAGGGCTTCCAAGAGAAGCTAGCTCAAACCTTCACTTAACAAGGAATAAAAGCAAACATCTGAAAGTTAAGCATCTTGCTCAATATTATATAGCTGGGGGTGGGTGATAGTTGACACAGCAAAGAGAATAGAGCTCATCAGTCCTAATTCACAGTTCTATGCTCTTTTTTTCCCACACTGACTACTATTTTCTCCCTCTGTCCATCTGTTCATTTGTGGGAAATATACTGATAATAATTCCAGAACATCTTTTGACTTCTTGTTTGTGAATGTCTTTAACTTCATGTAAGTATGTGTTCTCTTTGTAACTATCTTTGTATTTTTGTTCTTATTGTTGTTCTTTGATGTTGTTTCTTAAAGTATCAACTCCTCCTTTTTAGAAGATTTTTTAAGTTGCTATTAATACATGTTATCTTTTGCATAGGAAAAGAATTTCCTTCCTGTGCCATTGAGGTCTATAAAATGATGGAGAAAGTTGATTATCCCAGGAATGAAAATGGAGAAATTTCTGCTATTATCCATCCTAATCTACAGGTAATATTTGCTGTTTCTTTGGATTACTGATAGTAATAGTGCTCTAACTTTTAAGTTCATGCAGCATTTTGTATACATTAGCTAATTTGATGTTCTCATAAACACTGCAATGTTGGGAAGTGTATTAGTCAGTTTTTCATCACTATAATGAAATATCTGAAGCAATTAGCTTAGAAAAGTTTTATTTAGCTCACAGTGGTGAAGGTGCCAGTCTGAGATCAAGTGGCCCCATTGCTTTGGGCCTCTGTGAGGGCACTGGATAGTAATGGTGGGGAGCACATGGTGGAGCAAACTGCTCACATCAGGAGCCAGGAAGTAAAGAGCAACTCAGAGACAGGCCCCACAATCCCCTTCAAAGGAAAATATTCAACAACATAAGGGCCTCCCAGAAGGTCCCACCTCCCAGTATGCCACACTGGGGGCCAAGCCTTTTAACAGATGGACCTTTGGAAGACACTACTCATATTCAAACTATAGCAGAAAGATATTCAAACCTTCACTCAGTTGAGTGTAACCAGTGCTGGTTCTAGAGATACATCAGTGAACATAATCTACAGTCTCATAGACTTTATAGTCTAGATATATATTAGTCTGAAACATAGTCTAGAAGTGAAAACCAGGTGCTACAACAGAATGATAAGGTGAGATAGAGATGGTCAGACAAGTCCTCTCAGAAAACTGAAATTCCTACTCAAGTGCAATGGGTAGGAATGATTGTATTTTTAATATAAGAAATCAGAAGCTCAGAAATTAGAGCTGTCACATAGTTATGAATGCCATATCTAGAACTAATGTTCTTTGCACCTAGCCACATTGCAACCACCTTCATGTGGTCACCACTGAATAAGTTAGAGCAAAACAGTCAGAACTTCTCTCTCTGAGATGTTCCTGCCACCATCCCTGACTCTCCTCAGAACCCCTGGCTTCTACACCTTGTCTGGTTTGGTCAAGAAGAATGTCATAGTGAAGGAAGAAGAAAAGACTCTTGGGACAGTTAGGAGGTTTACATCTGGAAAAGCAAGGAGGAGGAAAGATCCCACAAAGCTAAGCTATCCACTCCCCATTGTGAGTACCCCACACACTCGGACCGCACGGGCAGAGAGGAACTGGTCATTATCTACTGTGGGGCTTTCACCCCCACCACACATTGCCTAGAGAACTTTTAAAAAAAAATAATGCAGTGCTGCAGTCTAAAGTAATCTGATTTTATTGACTTGGGTGATAATGATGGAAAACCACTGATCCAGTTCAAATCCCTAATTTAATGACTCTTAGCAGTCATCCAGATGTGCATCTTAATAAAGCATCCTGCCCACATATACAGACTAGAGGAGCAAACCCTGCTTTGTGGCTTAATATTAGAAGTAGGCAGAAACCAGAAGGAGCCTTGGGCAATGTTTTAGAGGAAAGATAGTGTGTGGGGGAGAGAAAGTTTAAAAAAAAAAAAACCTACAGGTAACAAAATATCAAGTACAAAAATTGCAGGTCAAGGTGATGTCATAACAGGCTAAAAAACCTAGGGGTTTTCAAATTTGTTTTCCCAAGAATCCTGAGAAGGCTAAGAAGTTAAATTAATGATATCAGGAAAGTCAGGTAAGATGCTTTGCCAGGCACCTGTAATCCTAGCTACTCAAGAGGCAGAGATCAGGAGGATCACAGTTCAAAGCCAGCCTGGGCAAGTAGTTCACAAGGCCCTATCTTGAAAAACCCTTAACAAAAATAGGGCTGGTGGAGTGGCTCAAGGTGTAGGCCCTGAGTTCAAGCCCTAGCACCACAAAAAAAAAAAAAAAAAACCTGATTTGGACTTGATAGGAAAGGAATACTTGCCAGAAAGGAATACTACAGTATGCTACATAATTTTGAATGACTAAGCCTGTTCTGGGCCCTGTGATTCAAAGTAGGCAAGGTCCCTCATGGAGTTTCCAGACCATGAATGAGTAAACAGTACCTAAACCAGATCGTTTCAAACTGTAATAAGTACAATAAAAGACATAAGCAGAATAATATGCTGGGGCTAATAAAGGATTCCAATTATATGGATAGAGAGAGCCATCTCTGACATGGTGACACTAAAGCTGGAACAGGAAAGACAAGAAGCCAGCAATATGGAAAATAAGTGCAAAGACCCTAGGGCTGAAACAAATCTGAAGAGTTTGAGGGATAACAAGAAAAGCATACTGAGCATAGGAGTGAGCAGAGAAGATGGTATCCCTAGAACCAGACACTGGCAGAGACCTGACTGGAAGCCTAGATTCTGTTTTTGGAGCTCTTAATCAGGTGGGCTCATTGGACTTACCTGGGTGATTTTCTCCCTAAATGCCTGGAACCCATCACAAACTGCCAAAGCAGTGCTCAAACTCAGGCCATGTAACAACCATGGGAGAGCATTTTTTAAAAATCCTGATTCTCAGGTCCCATCACAGAGGCTCTGATTTAATTCATCAAGAATCAAGAGTTCACTCTGAAGACCAAAAATTGTATGTTCTCCCTCATATGTGGACTTTAAATCTAGGGCAAATGCAGCAATGTGGTTGGACTGGGATCACATGACAAGGGGAGAGCACATACGGGTGATATAGAAATAGGTAGAAAACCCAAAACATGAAAGCATTTGATGTCCCCACTCCAGAGGAGCTAATACAGAAACCTTAAAGCAACAGAAGTTATCATGAGAAGTGGATCAGTAGACAGTGTAAAGATCAGTTAGAGATGAATCAATATGGGTCATAACAAGTGTACACAAAAGCAATGCTAGGAATATTTCTGTATAGCTATCCTTAACTAGCAAAAACACTTTGTCTTCCTTATTATGCTTGTGTCTTTTCTTCAGCAAAATTAGTGATAAAGGCAGAACAGGACCTGCCTGGAACTGAGGGGGGAAGGGGGGAGGGTGGGGAGGGGAGCAGGGGGGAGAAATGACCCAAACAATGTATGCACATGTGAATAAATGAATAATAATTTTTAAAAAGAATCAAGAGTTCACCAGGTGATGACGGTATGGGAAGGTCTGAGCAGCACTGCACCACATGGGAGTCTCTACAGATGAGACTAGCCATACACATGTGAAAGTGCCCTCAGTGGGTACCTCTGACTGACAAACCACTTGTCCAGAGCAGTATTTTCACACAGACAGCCCTGTAAAATCTCCTGAGACTTACAAAAAACAAAACAACAACAACAAAAGCAGTGAAGTATAAATGAGTAGCATGGGGGAGTGGAGGAAGCAGGTGCTAAAATTATGTATCTTTTTTAACATATCTTTATGGAATTATGTTTTGGGGTTTTATTTGTTTGTTTTTCCTACAGTACCAGGATTAAACCCAGGGCCTCATGTTGTCTAACAGACAAACATTCTGCCTCTTGAGTCACACCCCTAGCCCTTTGGGTTTGATTTTGTTTTGAGATAAGGTCTAGTTAACTTTACTTTGGCTAATCGTGAATTCATGATCTTTCTGTCTCCGCCTCCCAAGAAGCTGGGATTTCAGTCAAATAACACTATACCCATCTTCATTATGTATCTTGATTACATGGTTATAAGTTACAGGACTCTACACTATGCACATGTTAAAATTCATAGAACAATATACAAAAATGAGTGAATTTCAGTTTATGTAAATTTTTAATAAATTTTAAAATAAAAATTTTATTTAAATTTAATAAATTTAAATTCTCATTTAAATATAGTAAAATTTAATTACTAAAAAAAATCACTCTTGAAAGGTGAATGTGGTCGATGTACTTCCTATATGAGAATGCATTTAGAATTTTTAAATCTACTGAAATCTCCATAAGAAGGGGACTAAGGTAGAAAGGAGAAAAATAAAGGAGATGAACCAATTCAGGTTGTAATACATATATGCATGGAAATGTCACAAGGAAACTCCCTGTATTGCTGCCTTAAACAAACAAAAATGTCTTTTTTTCTTTCACAAAATGAAAGAACAGGAGGGAGGGCAGAACAGGTCCTGTCTGGAGGGTTAGTACTAGTGGGAAGGGGGAGGATGGGGCAAAAGGGTGTTGGGAAGGTGAATATGGTGCAAATACTATGCACACATGTATGTAAATGGAAAAATGAGACCTGTTGAAACTAATCCAGGAATGGGGGTGGGGGTAAAAGGGAGAATGATAAAAGGGGTGATTAAAGTATTGTATGTTTGATATAGTATAAGAATTTTTGTAAATGCCACACCACAACAATAAAAATAAAATCACTCTTGAGATCCCAATTTAATGAGATTGAGCCAGCCCCTTTAACCCACATAATTAACATCCCAATTGGTTTTAATGTGCAGCTAGGGTTGAGAAAATCCCGGTGATGTGGCTCTCCTCAGATGTTCATGTTTGCATGTGAATCTCTTAACAACTTGTTCACATGAAGATTTTCATCTAGTAGGTCTGAAGTGGGGAATGAAATTCTGCATTTTTAGCAAACTCCCAGGTGATGTGGAGATGTTAGAAATGCTGCTGGAAAGTGTTAGAAATGCACGGTCTCAGGCCCCATCCTTCACCTAGAGTCAGAATCTGCATTTTAACAATGATCTGCATGCACAACCAAGTTGAAGATTGTCCTAGAGTCCCTGTGATCTGACAACTTGGGTGCTCAAAGGCTCAAGGGGCCAAATCACTGGTTCAGGGCCTTCCACACAACAATGTTGTCATACTGTGGACTACATCCACCTTGTCTTGGACTTCTCTCAAGCCTGCCCACCTTCTCACCAGCCCCACAGGAATGGTCTCCTGCATGCAAGCACAACCTGGCTCACTTTCCTATTCCCAACTATAGAAGGCCTTACACTCAGAGGCTCTGAATAGGTGTTTACTAAATTTTGCTGAATGTAATTTATTTTCTACTGGCAAAGAGTAGAAAACGCACTTAGGTCAACATGAAATTAATTTTGCCTCTTTGGCAACATTCGAAGTGAACTTGGTATTAAAGCAAATGCTAATTGCATGTGTCAACTCTAAAAATTAAAAGGGAACTCTTAGAACTGCTGTCAAAATTACACAATTTCAGTGTAGTCGGGTAGCTCAGATGCCTCTCAATGCATCCCTCACAAATCTCTTTTTAAAGAGGCAGTGCTATATGTGTTTGTTGTCTAGAGTCTGACAGAAACATTTTAAAGGAGGAGGAAAAGCCAAAGGTAATTTATTTGTTTTAATTGTCTCCTGAGAGGATCAAGACTGGAAACCATTGCACCCTGGGGATCCTGTGTTTGTGACTCCTGATGGAAAGAGTATTCCTCTTGGTGGAGATTGCACTGTGTATCCAGTGTTTGTGAATGAGGCAGCATATTATGAAAAGAAAGAAGCTTTCGCAAAGACGACTAAACTAACACTCAATGCAAAAAGTATTCGCTCTTCTCGCCACTGAAAATCACTGCTAGCTCACTTATTATAGGCTATCTTGAAAAGCTCTACAAGTCTGTAAGTTCCTCAAAAGCAGGATTGTGCCTTATTCAAATCCATCTTCATAGCACCTAGCCAAGTGCCTCACATAATAGCCATCCAGACCAGTTTCTTAAAGGAAAAAATAAATTAGTGAACTTTTAAAGGTGTCATAGTTCATATATGTAGCTTATTCAAAGAAGTGTGCTTCATATTTCTGTATACCGTTTTATACATGTTGATAACATTCTTCATAAACAGCCTTCACATTCAAAATATAAAGTTAAAATAGATACCATATGCAAAGTTAGTAACCTGAACTAGAGTGAAACACAGAATGAAATGTATGTTTTCAAATAATATATAAGTGCTACTGAAAACTAATGGTGCAAACCTGCTATTTTCATATCTGAATTAATGCAATATATTAAGTATCCAGTCTATAAGCGAGCAGTAGGTGGAATATCTCTAGGAGATTTTTAAATGCTGTTCTGCAGATAAAATGTGAGAGAGAAGCCAGGGCTGACTGTAAAAAGTAACACATAAATATGTCAAGAAATGCTACATCTCATGTGCCCTTGAAAAGCTAATCATCCTCCTCAATGTAGAAAATTTGAAAAAGGCATATTCCCCCCAGCTGCCACAGTCATTTTGGAAGAACAGACATGTGATTCTGGTTCACAAACATGTGCTTTTAAGAAGTGTCTCTATGTCTTAACTGCTGAAGCTCCTTGCCTCCCATGATTCTTCTCCTCAAAGGACCTCTGGCTGAACACTGTCCCCTCTCTTTCCAGTCCCTCCAGGACTTTCTCTCCTCCTCTTTGAGGCCACAGCAGTCAAGTAAGGAGCATTTTTGAGACAAGGTCTTGCTTTGCAACCCAGGATGGCCTCATACTCCTGCCTCTGCCTCCCAAGTGCTGGGATTACAGGTATGTACCACCACACCTGAGAAAGTAAGGAGAATTTTTATCCCATGATCCTGGAACCCATTATTCATGGCTTCAAATGGATTAATCAGGCCAGGCACCATGGCTCATGCCTGTAATCTCAGCTACCCTGAAGGGAGAAATAGGGAGGATTGAGGTTCAAGCCCATTCTGAGCAAAAAGTTAGAAAGACCCCATCTCAAACAATAGCTGGACGAGGTGGCACATTCCTGTCATTCCAGCTATATGGGAAGTATAAATAGGAAGAGTATGGTCCAGGCCAGCCAAGGCAAAAACATAAGACTTTATCCCAAAAACAACTAAAGAAAAAAAGGCTGGTGGTGTGGCTCAAGTGGTAGAGCACCTGCCTAGCAAGTGCAAGGTACTGACTGAGTTCAACCTCCATTACTACCAAAAAAAAAAGTATTTGAAAAAAGTACTAACATTATTTGGAATACAAACAGTTAAATGACTTCTGAATTTTTCATCATCTATTTTGTACTTTACTAACATTATTTTCATTGGGATAAACTCATCCTTTTGAATGATGTAGTAAAAATTTAATTTATCAATTAGCTTTTGTCCATAAGTTTTACCACTCTTCCTTTTTCCTTTTTCTTTTTTCCATGTTCTGTTGTATTTTATTTCAGATTCCAATTTCTCTGAGTCAGTTTTTTTCCAGATGTAAATTTTGACAAAAAAATCTTTATTTTTCTATAAAATTGTGTTCTTTACAAAGTTTATAATGTGTAACTTAAGTCACTATGGCTTCAGTTTGGGGATTATTTCTATTAAGTTTAATTTTCCCTGATTTGGTCTTTATAGTCTTCAGTGTTTTTAATTAGATGTGATTTTTTTAAATCAATAAACACATTGCTTTGTGGTTTTAGCCACTTTCAGTTATATTTTATTCGGATTATTTCTAACAATGTACAGATTCAATTTTCTCATTTATAAAGTGGGAGTGAGCACAATAGCAATGCTTGTTTTGTGGGGTTATTGTGAGGATTAAGTGGGCTAGTGCGTGTAAGCACTGAGCTCAGTGCCTAGAATACAGCATGTACTTCATAAATCATTCAAATTCAAACCTAGGACAAAAGGCCCTTCATGATCTGCTTCTCCTTCTCCCACAACCTCTAGACCCCTCTAGATCCTGTTCTCTCTGCTCCAGCACCCTTCATGTCTTTTTATTCCTATATGTCTTCACCCAGATTGATTCTTCCCACTAGAATTTTCTTCCACCTTCCTGCATCTTCCCCTCCTGACCTTTCTCTAGCTAATTCCTGTATTTCCTTCAAAATGCAATTCAACTTTCATTTTATACACAAGTTCTTCTTGGTCTCCCTCTCTGATTTAGTTGCCCCTTTTGCCCTTTTCTCCTCCTATCCCATATTAAGAACATGAAAAGCATCTTTTTCAGTGTCTGCAATCTTGTAAGTGCCCAATAAAGGTTAGTTGGATGAATGTGTGTGCTCAAACATCCCTTCGCTATTGAAACATCTTTACATTCCACTGGTGTTTCTATCTTCTTGTACCTCAAGCATATCCTGAATATCCCCAATCACTCCCAAGTGAAACTCACTCCATTCTTGGACTATTATTATACCTCAAAGGATGGTCGGAGGAGGGGAAAAAGCCTTTTAAGCCTGCAACTCCATAGGCAAAAAAACAGGGAAATGTCCATGCCCAATAACTTTCCTAGGTAGAAGCTTTTGGTGGCTTCTTCTTATTCTTGATATGAAATCTCAAACCCTTACCATAGTCAACAAGTCCTACATGCTCTGGTCTGTGCCACCTCTCCAATTTCGTCCCATTTCACTTGTCCCCTTGCTTCCAGAAACTGGAAACGACAGTCTGGATTCTCCAGTCCTAAAATTCACCAAGCTTCCTACTGCCTTAGGTCTTTGCCCACACTGTTCCCTCTTCAAAAGCCTGCCTCACTCCCACACTCCATTTACCTGGATGACATTTGTTTTTAATGCCACTCAGGCTAGATTAGGCCACTCTGTCAAACAAGCTCACGGATACCACCAGACTAGCACTTACCACAACTGCAAAAACAATGATGAAATTGGAACAGGACAATTAGTGTCTGTCTCTTTGATTAAACTACAAAAGCCACACGAGAACAGGGATGATGTTGGTCTTATTCTTTGTCTTGTCCATAGCACTTAGCACAGTGCTTAATGGGTAGCAGGAACGTGGCAAGTTTTGCTTGATAAATGAGAGTTGATCTGGTGAGTGTGAAACCATTGGAAGAAGGGCTTCCCTAAAAGAGTGGATTGTTGCACCCCCAGGGGTAACCCTGACACCACAGAAGCTATCACTGGAGACCACAGTAAATGTCCCTGAGACAGGAATGGTGAACCAATGTAGTCACTGCTCCAAAAGGAGGCAAGTAGTAGAGGACAGTGGGATGGGGGGACTTTGGAGACTGAGATGACAAAGACCATGGTACTGGGAGAACCCAGTATGACATGTACCATTTCTACATGTCAGAAATGCACCAGAGCAACAGGACCAGGGCATATCTGAAAGGCTTGTATTTTCATACTGCATGAAGACAGAGTCTGAAAGGGAGTGACTGCTTTGGGGACTCACAAAGCTTTTCCACATCTCTACACTTCCACTACATTGCCTTCAAGAGGCTTGTAACCTACCTGTGGAGACCCTCTTTTCATCCCCCACCCCCAACACAGCCACACAAAGAACCTGATGCAGTGCTTGGCAGTCAATAGTTCCTTAATTTATCAAATGAGAGAGGGGACACTTCTTACAGAGTATCTGTAGAGTATTTTTGCCTAAGGCTGCCACATGGGTTTAGTGGGCTGCACGATGCACAATCTGGGGTGGGGGGACCTTCCATTCACATAATCCACAAAACGAATGGCACAGCCCAGAATTTTAATTCCATCAAACTTAAGACAAGACTGAAGCTTACTCAGCTTGTCCAAAAAAAAAAAAAAGGAAGAAAAGAAGAGGGACTTGATTAGTAAACAAAGTCAACCAAAAAGATGGGGTCTACAGAGAGAGGATTATTATAGTGTCGGCCACTACAGATAGGCTAAATGTTTAATGGAAAAGTTTGTTCTTAGAAATCTCGTAAGTTGGGAAATAAGTTTCATCATCATGAAACAGCTTAAGAAATCTCAAGCAAGTAGAGAGAGTCCTTGGGTAGAATCTTTACTGCTGTGGGTCTAGATGCAGATAAGATGTAGTAAAAGTTGAAGGTGTTCCTTCAACACTTACTTGGTATTCACTGCCAAGTAAGAGAATAAACCAACTAAAGATATTCAAAGGAGAGTTATGGAGCCACTGATGATAGTTTTAAAATAACTACTGGAAAATAGAACAGACAACTAATGAAGCAAGTAGAGGAATCCCTGGGGTACTGCAAAGATTAAATATAAAATGCATGGCACCATAGTAGGCATTCAAATACTCATTTCCTTCTTCCCTCTTTCACCACCTTTCAATTATCTTATTCATATTTGTATCCTATATAATTGTATCTATTTGGATGTTCAATTTTTGTTCAATTGGTTCTAACTCTTCACACATAGTAGGTGAGATTCATTTTTGTAGAACCCGGATTGGTTCCCTTTCTTTCTATAGAACTTTGATGTTATTGTCAAAGAGTTAGTCTGACATAGTGAGAAAAATGCTGTCTTTTGGTACCAGTCTAACTAAACTTTATAGAACCTGGATCCTTGAGTCAGGAAAAAAACATTGTAACCTTTGCATATCATTCTATCTCCAAGCCTCAATTTCCCCACTTATTAACCTGGGATATCATATTCACTAAACCTACAGAATAGTGCTATAAAGGTAGTCAGCATGAATTAAAGCACCTTATAATATACAATCCCAAAGGGTGAAAAAATGTGGTCCTTTTGGCAGTAATTTTTCATAGTATCAAGAGCCATAAAAAGTGTGCATGTCCATTGACCAAGGTGTCCCATTCCCAGAAATTCATCCTACAACTGGGGTTTCCACCCTTTTTCTAACAGGTCACTCAGTGTGTTTCCATGGATGGCACATTCCTAGATCATGGGCTAAAACCTATTTAAGCTACAATATTACTGTATACAATTTCCATTTCTTTGCCACTCAACAATTCACACCCCAGTGAAGGAAGATGTTCTGGGATCACTTGAATTAAGTAAATAATTCATCAAATGCAGTATTTACCTACAAATAAATTGATTGCAATTTCTGCAGTCCATCATCACAAAAGCAGTGTTTTGGGATTCAAGTTGTGAGCTGCCAACCTTGTGAAGTAACTCAAAAGAATAAAAAATAATACACAGACATATGAATTGGTCTAATGGGCAATAATGATGTATCAGCTTTTCAACATCCATTCTCTCATTGCCCCCTCATAT